GGCTTGGTACACTGTCCTGGATGGGACCCTCCCAGGGAATCCCAAAGCAAGCTGACATTTAGCTCTCAGAGAGGAGACCACTCCTTATATTGCCTTATACTTAATTTCTTCTTTGCTGAAAAAGTAGAAGTTAAAAGAATAGGCAGAAGTGAAAAATCAAAAAATCGTAGACAACGGGGTGCCACATTTTGGGCCTGGTGTTAAAATGCAACTCCTGACCTCACTGCTTGTGCTATCTATAGATTCCAGACAGCATGTAAAAAAGCATTATGAAACTCCCCGTTCTGTTCTGTTTTGTTCTGATTACTGGTGTGTGCAGCCCCCAGTCATGTACCCCTCGCTTGCTCAATCAATCACGACCCCCCCCCCCCCCCCCCCCCCTTTAGAATTGTGAACCCTTACAAGGGACAGGAATTACTTATTTGGAGAGCTCGATCTCTAGGATGTGAGTCTGCTGATGCTCCCAGCTGAATACAGCTCTTTCCTTCCACAATCCAGTGTCAGGAATTCTGTCTACGACTCCTCCTTCTACAGCTGGAGGGAAACCCTCTTCCTTCCCAGCCCCAGTTGTCTCTTTGTAACCATGATAGTTTGCTGCCGATGCACACACGTCAAGTCTGTATGCTGAGATGCTGGGCTGCAGCAGAGAAGGGGTTAATCATAGGGTCACTGAAGAACTTGCTGGGAGGAAACCTCAAATCTATCTCCCAGAGGAATCTGGGGCTGGGGTTTGTTGTTGCTGTTGTTTGGTGTTGGTTTGGTGTTTTTTTGTTTGTTTTTTGAGACAGGGACCCACGCTGGAGTTCAAGGGCAGAATCACAGTGAAATGGCAAAGATTCCCTTGTCCCCTCGCCGGGCATGCAATGGGGGACTGGCTTGCTTCTTTGGTGCCCCACTGCTCAAACCCCTAGGGGAGCATATCGATGGGCAGGGAGCCCCACGGCAGCTTCTGGGGTGAATGTTGGTAGCTGAAGCCCCGGTGGGCATGTGCTACAGGGCACTCTCTCCGTTTAGCGTCTGTAGGCGGCTTGTGTTAACCAGCTCAGTTAGGCCTGTGCCTTACCACAAGGACAGAGGCCTGTATCCCAGGGTTCTTGCTGTACCGGAAGAATCGGATCACACGTGGGCTTGGAGAATGAGTGCAAAGTTTGATTGCGTGGAAGCAGCTCTCAGCAGATGGGGGAGCCAGAAGGGAGACGGTTTTCCCCTGGAGTCAGGCCTCTCAGCAGCCTGGGCTCTCCTCCGACCACCCCAGCCAAACTCTGCATCATTCCACCAGCCGATGGCCTGCCAGGGTCTCGGTGTGCTCTTCTGCCGGTGTGCTCCCCCCGACGGCCTCTCGACATCCAGCCGCTTGTGTGTTCTGCCGATGGGTTCCTCTCCATGTCCAGCGCTTGGGTTCCTGCCCACTAGGTCTTGGAGTTTCTATAGGCATAGGATGGGGGCGTGGCAGGGCAGGGTGGTTTTGGGAAATGCAACATTTGGACATGAAGGCAGGGTGTGTTGGTCCTCACCTAGGTCCGTGGGCACAGGCCTGTGGGTGGAGTCCTAGCCAGGGACCACGCCCTCCTCTACCCAGCACTTCCCTGCCCACCACTCATCAATAATTCACTGCAGCCTTGAACTCCTGGGCTCACGTAATCCTGCCGTCTCAGCCTCCACCGTGCCCAGCTACTTTTTTTTTTTTTTTTTTTTTTTTTGAGACGGAGACTCGCTGTCTCCCAGGCTGGAGTGTAGTGGCGCGATCTCGGCTCGCTGCAAGCTCTGCCTCCCAGGTTCACACCATTCTCCTGCCTCAGCCTCCCAAGTAGCTGGGACTACAGTAGCAGTGAGGACGACCAGAGGTCACTCTCGTGACTATCTTGGTTTCCGTGAGTTTTTGTCACTTCTTTACTGCAACCTGTTTAATCAGCAATGTCTTTATGACCTGTATTTTGTGCCGACCTCCTGTGTCATCCTGTGACTTAAAACGGCTTCACCGCCTGGGAATGCAGCCCAGCAGGTCTCAGCCTCATTTTACCAGCTCCTGTTCAACATGGAGCTGCTCTGGTTCACATGACTAACAGTTTCACCTTCTGGTCAGAGCATTTGGACCTCCACAGGCTCTGACTCAGCCCTCTTATCCCAGGCTAATCCCATCCCTGTCCCATCCCTGTCTAAAAACCCCACTACCTTCTTTCTGAGAAAGTCGAGTTTTGTTTATACTAAAGTGTTAATGACTCACAAAGCATTCCCAGAGGAAAAGTTAACAGGAAGAGACTCTGAGGCTCTGGTGGTGAAAGGTCAGGCATCAGCCCTGGGGGAGATGTTTTTTTTTTTTTTTCTGGAGGCCCCTCCTGACACCCCCATCTCTACACAGGAATAGGAATGTGCCCAGCGGGTCCACCTATCTGCCCACGTGGCCCCAGCCTCAGGCTTCTTGGAGTAGAGCAGGGCTCATGCGTGTGGCACCCACACGCAGTTTCAGGCATGGACTTTCTCGGATGGCTGGGTGGCTTTGGGGGAGGTGGGAGCTGTTGGTGGAGAATGCTGAGCCCAGCCCTGACGATGGTCCTCTTTTCCTGCCTTAATAGGCTAGTCCTCACCACTGTGGGGGCCTCAATTTGGGGATATTCTCCTCAAACTCCTGCTGGTTCCGAATCTTGCAGGGAGACCAGCATCTCCTTAACTGCAAATCCCAGTCACTGCGGGGTCCCTGATGGGCCCAGGGCTTCCTTTCTTACTGACCTGGAGGCCTCTCCCCATGGCTCCCCATCTGACGTCTTCTTACCTGGGAGACTTAATTGGAAAGACTCACAGGGACCCAGGGGCATCACGGGGAGCCCTCCTAGGTACTGACAGATGTTTATTCATTTTGAAAAATGGGCAAATAGCAAATAAAGATGTTTAGGGTACGTTTGGAAGAAAATAGCAAAATAGTCACAGCAGTGCTTGCCGCTCAGTGGGGAGAAGGCGCATGGGTTTTCCCATCTTTTATTTGGAAATCATTGTAGATGCACAGAATTGCAAAGAAGCCTAGAGGTCTCCATGCACCCCATCCCCACCCCCACGGCATCATCCCACAAAGCTGCAGGGCAACTGCCAAATCCAGACACACACGCCCAGCACCCACAGGGATGGCTCAGACAGTGAACTTTACTTTGTTTATACTCTCAGTATTCCCAACACGTCTGGAATAGGCACGTGACCGTTAATTTTAGCTCCTTATTTCTTTTTATTTAATTAAATAAGCAACATATGGATACTCCTTGTTTTGAGAATTTTGGGCCGGCCGCGCACAGCAAAGAGGCTGAGCGCCCCTCGGCAGCTCCCTGCACAGCCACGCGCTGGGATGCGTGTGGCGATCACCCACTGGGTTTGGAGGTGCACAGGACCTCAGGGGGCGATCCCACCAGAGGAGTGGGGCTCGGCCTATGGCCCAGCTACCCCAAACTCCCCAGTGAGCTCCAGGGCCTTTCCTTCCATTTCCAGGAGTGACACCAACCTTGTCTCCTCTCCCAGCCCCAAGCAGTGGGAAGAGAGGGTCCCATAAAAGGCCATGGCAGTGGCCTGGGAGAGGCCACCCCTGCTGCCTGCCAACCTCAGAGGGTCCCCAGCTTGAGGGTTCCGAGCAAACCTGGGTGCTGCATGTGTCCCTCCCCTGGAAAGAGCAGGCTGGAGATAGTGACCCCTCGTCCCACCTCCCGGGTGCACTTCGGGTGGACTGGGAACCAGGCAGCAAAATCCACCCAGCTTGAGGCTTGCGTCCCCCTGCAAGGGCCCCAAGCCCACACCCGGGGTGTTGCTGAAGTGACCAAAGGTAACTGCTGTGCTGAGGGGGCACAGGAGGACAGAGAGGGGGTGAAGGCGTGGTACCCCGAGATCATCCCAGAAAACACGTTGGGAAGTTCTACTTTGTGTCTAGCCTGACTCCTTCTCCAGCGCCCAGGCCCTTTTACCGATAGACACAGCCCTCCCCTCCTATGTCCCTGAGCTTCCTGGTGCCTCTCCCTCTGCCCCTGGCAGCCCTGGCTTCTGTGCTGTACCCTCAGCAGGGCCTGGAGACACCCAGAGGCCTTAAGAGCCACACCCTTCACTTTGATTTCTGCAGGAAACGAGGTGGCTCTGGGCCTTGGATAGGAAAGGGTTGGGGGTCTCGCTGGGGCCCGGCAACACTGGCCTGAGTATGACCAGAACAGTCACCAGAGGCCTCCTGGGAGGGCGGGTGCAGCCCCAGTCCCCGCTGTGAGTAGGAGGAGCGGGGGCGGGTGTGAAAGTGTGGTGGGCAGCAGCGGGTCTATGCGGCTCAGCAGTGGAAAGTGAGCGGGCCAGGCTTCCAGGCGAGCTCAGGGACGGTTTTCACTGCACTAACCCTCTCCTGCCCGCCTGCACTCCCAGTGGTAACCCACGGCCCTGCAGTGTACGACTCCTCTTTATTCTTCCAAACTCTGTGAGCCTGCATGCTCCCATCCAGGACAGAACAGCAGGGGAGAGTGGCTGAAGGATGACGGGGGCCTTTAGGGCCAGCTGGGTGGATGAGCTGAGTCTGCTAGGGTTGAGGGTTCAGTCCGGGGTCGGAGGGCGTCAGTCGGGGGTCGCGGGGCGTCGAAGCCTGGGCCCCGTCCCGCCCAGGTGTCCCTGGGGTTCCTGTTGTGCCCCCGGCTTCTCTAGGGTTAAGTCCTCCTCCCCGGTCCCTCACTGTGGGGTTTGGCAGCATGGCACAGCTGTGGAGTTTGGACTGGCAGTCGGGGTCACAGCAGACTCAGGAGCTCCGATTCCGGGGCCAACACTGAATGCTCCTCTTCTGGGGACATCAGCGCCTCTCCCTTGGCTACTTGGGGAGGCTGGTATGGAGGGAAGTGGAGGGAGAAGGAGGAGGTGGAGGAAGACGTGGGGAAGTGAGGGGAGGTGGGGGGAAGGAGGGAAAGAGGGAGGAGGGAGAAGGGGGAAGGGGAGGAGGAAGGAGGAAGAGGAAGGGGGAGGGGGGAGGGGGAGGGTAGGGCAGCTCAGGCCCTTCTGTCTGCTCTGATCTTCATGGCCTGAGGACAAGAGCTGCTCCCAGACCTGCGGAGGCCCCTTGGAGCAGAGGGATGTTCCAGAGAACACCCGGGTGACCTGCATCCCTGCTCTGCACGATGTAGCACTAGGCCCCTGTGAGTCCAGCGTCACCCCTGCAAGGTGGGGGGTCCCGGCCCCTGCCTGGACAGGCTGCACAGCCCATCTGTCTTTACTTGAGCCTTCTCTGCTTCCAGAGGCTGCCCTGGGCGCCTGACCCTGGAACCTTCATCTCCAGCTCCCCAACCCCTCCCCCACAGCCCTGGGACCGGCGCCAGCCTGGGGAGGGGTCTCCATGCTCAGTTCCTTCCCGTCTTGTTCAGAGAGACACTGCCTGCCCACGTGCCATCAGCAGGATCCACAACCCTGCCAGGGGCCCCATGACACGCCCCCGCTGCACAGAGCATGTGACCCCAGAGGCCACCCTGGCCCGTTCCAGAAAGTGGTGGGCCCTGGGATACTCCCCTCCCAGGGTGTCTGGTGGCCGGCCTATGCCTATCCCTGCTGTCCCCGGGGTGAGCCCGGAGGTCAGGAGCTCCAGAAGGGCCAGCTGGGCATATTCTGGGACTGGCCATCAGCCCCTATTTCTGCTGCAGACCTGGTCAGAGCCAGTGTTCCCTCCATGGGGCCTGAAGACAGTGCCAAGTGCCTGCACCATGGACCACAGCTGTGCCGCTGGGCAGCTGGTGACGGTCCCGCACGGGAGCGCTGTGGACCCCGCTCTCTGGGCAGCCCTGCCCTAGGCCTGGACACCTGCAGAGCCTGGGACCATGTGGATGGGCAGATCCTGGGCCAGCTGCGGCCCCTGGCAGAGGAGGAAGAGGAGGAGGGCGCCGGGGCCATGTCGCCCAGGGGGCCTGCCTTCCCCGGCATGGGCTCTGAAGAGCTGCGTCTGGCCTCCTTCTATGACTGGCCGCTGACGGCTGGGGTGCCGCCCGAGCTGCTGGCCGCTGCCGGCTTCTTCCACACAGGTCAGTCCCGGGCGGGGGTGCCTTCCTGCTGTGGGCCTGGGCACGATTCTGGACCCTTCCAGCCCAGGGCTCTGCCTCCTCCATAGCATCCATCCCCCAACAGGAAGGGTCTGGCCGGATGACCGAGCAGTGGTCCTGCAAGCCCTTCAGTGCCCATGTGCTCCTGCCTGACACGCTCTCCCGGAGTCTCTGCTGGCCAAGTGTGTCAGACTGTGGGACATGAGGAAGGGCTGCCTCTGGCCATGGTCTGGGGGTCTCAGCTGTGGAGGCCACCAGCTTGGTGCGCAAGTACCTTTTTGTGATAGAAGTGGGTGGGGCTGACATTGCCTGGGGCCCTCACCGTCCTGCTGCTGGTCTGCACTCGGGGAGGAGATGTTTAAGGAACAGGATCAGGGTGACCAAGGCAGGCGTGGTCAGCTGGAAGGTCCTGGCAGCTCAGCCTGTGGGGAATTTCTTCAGGACCCAACCTGCAGCCACTGTCTGGTCTTCCCCGACTAAATCAAGTCCCCGGAGTACCTATCCTCGTCTTGGCCTGGGCCCGCTCCTCGGCCCTACAGCTGGGGACCATGTGGTCAGACCTGAGTTCAGGTCCCAGTTCTGCCACTTCCTGGCTGAAGGACAGGGCAGCAGGGCCCACTGAGGGCTTTACGAGTACTGGCACAGCCAAAGTCATTGTCAGCAGTGGGCTCTGGGGGGGCACCATCCTGGTAAGGCTGGACCAACTTAAGATGGTTGGTGGGGACAGTGGCTGGGACAGTCAGGAGTCGTGGTGTGAAGGGGCAGGCCTGGCTCACCCAACTCCCTGGAGGTCCAAGGCTCAGCAGGTGAAGGTCAGGCAGGAGGCATGGCAGGTGCAGAGCCAGGGTCTTTGGGGCTGGTCGAGGTCCAGTGCCTGATGCAGCCCAAACCTGTGATGTCAGTGGCAGGTGACATATTGCATGCCTGCCGATGAGGGGACGGGGCCGTCAGGAGGTAGAGCAAGGAGGGGTCCCCCACCCCCAAAGGGAGGCATGAGTTCCTAAAACCAAGCCTGGCCCCAGACTGGCCTTCTAGGGCAGCCTCCCTTCTTCCTCTCGCTGGGACTCATCTTGGGGAAGCAGAGGCCTGGGGAGGGGCCCTTCTGGCTCCTGAAGCCTCAGGGCTATAGATGTGCCAGGCCCTGGGGGGCCCCCACTGCTCACTCTGGGAACAATGCAAATGCCAGCTCAGTCCTTTCCTGAACATTCTCGCCCATCCTGGCCGGCACTCCAGACACCCTTGTCCCCTTTTTACCTTTGATGCTAGTGAGGTGCAAGTGTCCTCCCCCACCCACTCCCCTGCCCACCCCTCCTCCCTGTTGCCACCTGGGAGCTCCCCTCCAGTTGAAGCTCTCGCAGCCTTGGAAGGACACACCGGGGGGGAGCGGGCTGGGTGAGGCCTGGCTGGGGCCAGCATCTCTCTGTACCCCAGGCCAGCAGGACAAGGTGAGGTGCTTCTTCTGCTACGGGGGCCTGCAGAGCTGGAAGCGCGGGGACGACCCCTGGACGGAGCATGCCAAGTGGTTCCCCAGGTACCAGCTGTCCCTGTGGGGCCCCGGGTCTGATCACGGGTCAGGGGTGGGCCCCAAAGGGCTCTGTCGACCCAACACCAGGCCTGCTTTGCCTCCCTGGCCCCACAGGGCACTGGGAAGGCCCCTCTGTGGATGGTGCTTCTGGCCGGCAGGCACCCACTTTTCCTGTGAGGGCCCCTGTTCGGAAGGGCTGCTGGGGGCAGAAGTGCCTCTCCTATGGGACTACCCTGAAGCCCCACGGAGGTGTCTCCAAGGCAGCCCTCCTCGCCCATGCCCACGGGCACTGCAGGGCGGTGGGAGGAGGGGGCCCAACCCCAACCCCTGGGGATCCAAGGGCTTGAAGCGGTCAGTGGGGGCCCTGAACCCCAACCTACATCTGTGGGGCATCTGCAGCTGCCAGTTCTTGCTCCGGTCAAAAGGAAGAGACTTTGTCCACAGTGTGCAGGAGACTCACTCTCAGCTGCTGGGCTCCTGGGTGAGCGCCACCTCCCCTCGGGGCTCCGGGCGGCAGTGGGGTCCTGCCCCTCCTATTTCCCCAAGGCACCGACGGTCTCTGGCTCCTTCCAGGACCCGTGGGAAGAACCGGAAGATGCAGCCCCTGTGACCGCCTCTGGTGAGAGCCAACACCCTACTGACTCCTTGGGCACCTGCAGCCTGTGCTTGGCCAAGGCCACGGGGTGTCCCCACCCTGCCAGACAGCAGGGAGAGTGACGGGCGCGTGACCGGGTGTGAGACTGCTGCACACTGTGGGTTGGCTTCATGGGGGCTGTGCCGTGTGAGGTGGGGCGGGGCGGCAGGGGCCTCTGCCAGTGCCAGGTCCCCATTCTGTTTCTCTCCCAGCTCACCCCCTGGGCACAGCCCATTGCCCTTCGCCGCACCACCCCCAGCAGTGCCCAGCACACAGTGTCTGCAGCCACTGCCAGATGGGCTGGATGTGCAGAGGGCCTTGGACAAGGGGCAGGCTCTTTGGTGGCCCCTCCAGGAAGCCTTTGGATCCTGTTATGCTGTGGGAGGGGTGGGAAGAAGTGTCGGGAGCGGGGGTACTCTGCAGTCCCTCCACTCCTGGCCAGAACTGGACCCCACAGGCTGCGGACCTGTCTCTGGGCCGGCCCGGCTTCCCCTTGGGAGCTAGGCCCTCAAGTCCATCCTAACTGTCCACAGTCCCTGCCCCTGGGGACCCTGAGCTGCCCACGCCCAGAAGAGAGGTCCAGTCTGAAAGCGCCCAGGAGCCAGGTGCAGGCCCGGGACCCCCTGGGGTGGGGGCTGGGACAGGGGAGGGCTGATGGCACCTGGAGAGCTGGGTAACGCCAATCTTCCACGGGCTGCAGAGGGCGGGGGCCAGGGTGCAGGCACACTTTGCAGGCCTGTCCTCCTAGGGGGAGCCAGTCCAGCCCAGGCCCAGAGCGGGTGGTGGGTTCTTGAGCCCCCAGGAGCCAGGGACGTGGAGGAGCAGCTGCGGCGGCTGCAGGAGGAGAGGACGTGCAAGGTGTGCCTGGACCGTGCCGTGTCCATCGTCTTTGTGCCATGCGGCCACCTGGTCTGTGCTGAGTGTGCCCCCAGCCTGCAGCTGTGCCCCATCTGCAGAGCCCCCGTCCGCAGCCGTGTGCGCACCTTCCTGTCCTAGGCCAGGTGAGCGTCCCAGCACCACGCACAGCCAGCCCTCCTGCGGAGATGGCCCTGAGCCGGCCGTGCCCGGCCCTCCTGAACCCACGGCAGGCCCTTCCCGGGTGGCATCGTCAGCCTGTCCTTACCCCGCTCACCAGGCCGCACTGATAGCACCCATCAGTCTTACTACCTGCCTGGATGCTTAGGTTGGGGCCTGGTCCTTCTCAGCACCACGCCCTGGCAGCCACCGCAGCTCTGCGTTAACTGACGCCTGCTGGCTCCTCTCGGCCTGGATTTTCTTCAGTGGTCAAGGAAAGCCGGCTTTGGAGGCGTTTGGGGAAACAGAGTGGGCCGGTTTGGGCTTACACAAGCGAGACACCAGCCTGGCCTTAAACTGGGGCCAAGGCACAGTGGGAACGCCTGCACGGTGGGAACGCCTGCGCGGTGGGAACTCCTGCGCGGTGGGAACTCCTGCATGGGAAGGGGGCGTGTGAACCTGTTCTTAGAGAAGTGGGTGGGATGCCCCAAGCTGGCCGAGGGACAGGTGCTGTGACTGCCTCGGGGCTCTCCAGGGCCTCTGTAGTTACCCCCGGGATGTATCTGAAGATCTTCTGGCGGGGACAACATAGTCAGGCAGGGAAGTCTGGCAAAGGGAAATCTGGTATCTGAGGCCCCTGGCTCAGTGGGCCCCGTTGGTAGCCATTGACTCACCCACCCCTCCTCTCCCTCTAGGTACCGTGGTCGGCCAGGTGGGCTGCAGAGTGGGCTCCCTGCCCCTGTCTGCCTGTCCTGGACTGTGTTCTGGGCCTGCTGAGGACGGCAGAGCTGGTGTCCGTCCAGCACCCACAAACCCTGATTCCCTGACCACCGTCCAGGGTGGAGAAGGAAGCCCCTGCTTGGCATGGGGGACGCCTTTACTGTACCTGTTTGGATGCTTCTGAATAGAAATAAAGTGGGTTTTCCCTGGATGTACCGAGCAGCCTGTTCCAGACCACGAGCTGCCTCCCCACTGGCCCAATCTAACACAGGTCACCACCTCTCCAGGCCGGCAGGGCAGCACCTGCCCAGGTCCAGCCGGCTCCGGGCTGCTCCCCAAACTTCTCGCACTCCCGCGGACACCCCCTTCCGGGCCCCTCGCCTCCTTCCCCTCGCGCTTGTCCTCCAGTATTTTCAGGACTGTTAGAACAGGCAGGCCTCAGGCCCCACCTGAGATTGTAACCGACTGTCCCCCAAACTCGGCAGCTTCTGGAGGGTGGGTGAGGGCTATGTTCCTGTTTATTTACCAACTTGATGATACCTGGGGGAGCCTTTGGGACTGTTTGCCCAAGACCCCTCTTTACAAGGGTACCGCCCCCTTGTCACCACCACGTGCCCTGCGGTATGCCTTGGGGCCTGGCTCTGCCGTTCTTGGTCAAGCCCAGCCCACACCCCAGGACTCCATCAGCCTCAGCTCCTGGCGGCTCTGGGGGTTCTTCTGGCACAAGTTTGGGGCTGGGCACCCTCCATGTTCAACTGGGGCCCTTGCCGCTTGCTGGGTCTCGGGGCTCACATTCTTGGGGCTCACATTGACTTCCTGGGGGGCTGTGCCGTTCCCGCCTCGCTGTGCCCCAGCAGCGGTGCTTGCAGCCCAAGGGTCCAGCGGCCCCAGCTGGGCACCTGAGAGAGGGGCTCCTCGAGGACACGACGGCCTGGGGGCAGAGCTGTGTCCCCCACATTGCCGGAGGAGGTGGGCATGTGGGGCTCTGCCTTTTCTTTTGTTTTCTTTTTTTTTTTTTTAAGAGAAAGGAAATCACAGACTCTCTTGAAGTTGCAGCCGGCTGTGGCTGCCGCCCTGGCTGGTGTCCAGCACTTAGAACCCAGGGCAGGTGCTGCCGGCCCTGGAGGGTGCTGGGTGGGGGTGCGTCCCAAGGCCTGGGGGCTCCTGTCATTGTCGCTGGTTGGTTGCTGAGGCTGGAGGCCGCAGGAGCAGGATCAGCTGTTCCCTCACTTACGCAGGCCTGTGGGGACAAGGTCAGAGAGCACCTGGGGGAGCAGGGCTGGGGCGGCCACTGGGGGCTGCCACCCCCTCCCCTGGAGAACCTGAAATGGAACAAAGTCCAAGCAGTGATGGCTTCAGGCCTTTGGTAGAAAGGAGGTAGGTGGGGCTGAGGCTCTGGAAAGCCACCACTGCCTCTCCCTGTGCCGGGCAGCTCAGCGTCTTGTGCCTGTTTGCTGACATCTCAGTGGGGTCTGGGCTGTGGGGCTGGGAGTGGAGTGGGGGCTCGCCCAGGGGTGTGCCTGGGTCCCTGGCTCAGGGCCTGCGTGTGACCCCACCCCTGCCCGGGTCTTTATTCCCCCGTTCTCTGACATGGGAGCTGGGCTCCTGCTACCTCGGACAGCCCCTGCCATGACAGCCCTCATTTTTAGGAGAGAAGGGCCAGGGGCTACCCAGGGGCGTGCCATCAGGTGTCTCTGGGGGCCTGGGCAGCCCAGGGGCAGTGCAGCCACCTATTCTGAGCCCCAAACTAGGATTGTGTACAGGGCGAGCTGTGTGGCAAAAGCTATTTCAGAGGAGGACAGCTGGGAGCCCCGGCACCCCACCCCAGGGTCTGGGGTTTGCAGAACTGTGGACACTGCCTTTCAAGAAACAAGTCTGGTTCTGCCAGATAGGAAACCAGGGCCCCAGCTGCCTGCCACGGAGAGACCCCCACGGCAGCCCCATGCCGCCCGCTGGGAAGTGGCTCTTCAGGACACCCTTGCGGCCCCTGACTCAGAGCCGACTCCTGGACCCAACTCCCTCCCACAGGCGCAGTCTCTGCTGGGCTCTGAGTTTCTGGGCTGGGAGTGGGTCCTAGGTCTCTGCAGCCCCAGTACCACCCCAGAGCCTGGCATGAAGCAGATGTTAGAAAAGTGAGGGTGGATGGATGGACGGACGGATGGATGGACGGACAGGCAGACCAAGGAAGGTAGCCTCTTGCTGTGAGCGCCAGATTGGCCAGGCTGGCTGCAGAGCAGGTTCTGCCGGCCATACTTACAAGTATGCCTGCTTGGACAAGAGGCTGGATGGCTTTTCATTGACATGGTAGAGAGGAAATGGATCAAATCCACCAATGAAATCAACTGAAAGAAATCAAGACCCAAATAAAACAAAACCCACACAATGGAAAAGATGGCAGAGCGGAAAACAGGCCCAATCACAGAACGAAGCCCAACGGGGCCCTGGGCCACAGACACGCCCCAAGTCCTGACACGACAGCAGAGGGGACACAGCCAGGGGACGGGGGGCATAGGACAGCCCGGGTCCTCCGGCCTGTGCGGGGACGGCCTGGGGGGACCGCAGAGGTAGGACAGCCCAGGTCCTCCGGCCTGTGCGGGGATGGCCTGGGGGAACGGCGGAGGTAGGACAGCCCGGGTCCTCCGGCCTGTGTGGGGACGGCCTGGGGGGACCGCAGAGGTAGGACAGCCCAGGTCCTCCAGCCTGTGCGGGGGCTGCACCGTGTTCTGCCCTCTCCTACCACCCTCTGTCATGTTCAGTCACGGTGGCTCCCTTGACACTGTCTGCATAGCCAGCAGGCGCCGGGGGCTTGCTGGGCAAAGTCGATGCATTCTGAACTCCAGGTTCAAATGGGGTTCCCATCGTAAAATGTTTGAATGGAACCAGAGAGCGGAAGCTGTTTGCCCCCTCCCAGGAAGCCGGCTGAGCTCTGAGTGATGGTTTAGGATCAGTGGCACAGTGGCTGAGGGATGCTGGGTGCTGGGGACGGAGGCTCTGAGGGCGTCCCCTGCCTCTGGAATCAGTCCTGGTCTGAGGGCAGGGTGCCCTTTGACGTGTGGACTGCTGACCCCATGGCCCCTGGGGTCCTGGGGACAGATGGCTTTGAACTGGATTCTGACCCCAGGGATAGTTCTGTCCATAGGAACCGTGGGCCCCCCAGGCACACCCAGACTCTGCTTGGCATCTGCCCTTCCCCACCCGGCTCTATCCTTCTCCACAGGGTCTTCCTGTGAGACCACATCAGGATGAGGGGCCCAGCGAGGGCACCTGAGTGTGGACCACTCATGTTGCAAATCACAGGAAAGCTGATGGGGGCTGGCGAGCAGAGGGAAAATGAAAACCCTGCCTAGATGGGTCCAGGCTGCCACCGAGGGCCAGATGTGAGCGTCCCGGCCAGCGGGGCCCGGTTCTGAGCTGCCTGGAGGCTGCAGCGGCCCAGGACTCGGCAGGTCTGAGCTCAGACCTTCTACCTGTGGCCACTGCGGGGATCATAAGGACAGGCCCAGCCCGAAGCACAGGAGCTCTTGGACCTGGGGGACAGCGGAACCCTGGGGCCCCCAGGCCAGGACCTCTGCTCATCTCTTCCCTGTGTGTAGTGAGTCCTCTTCTGCTCAGGCCTATAGTCGTGAGCAAGGCCCTGCTGGGTGTGGGGTCCCTCCCAAGAGGGGAGGTCTCTCGCCTTGCCCAGACAGGACAGATTCAGAGTTGCCACCTCTGTAGCAATCTTCCACCCCGCTGCCTGCAGAGGCCCCATACTCACAGCTGTCCTCTTCCTCCGTAAACACGCTGACCACGTAGCAGCCACAGACAAAACCCAGAAGCTGAAAGACACCACAGGCGGAGGGGTGAGTGTGGCCAGGCGAGCCCGCGGGGTGTCACTGCGACGATGCGGGCAGAAGCACCCGAGCACCCCTGACCACCAAGGTCCTGCCTCTCCTAGACCTCAGGTTCCTCCTCTGTGACATGGAGTGGGAGAGCTGACCCGTGGGCATCCTCAGCTCTCAAGTTCCAGCCGCACCCCTGCCTTCCGCCCCACCCCACTCAACTGGGTGGGTGGCAGGTGGGTGAGGATAATGGATATTGGGTGGGGAAGATGACCAGGTCAGCCTGAGTGGCTACAGGGAGTGGGGTGAGGCTGCAGAAGCCCAGGTGGGATGAACCCCAGGCCAGCCCAGTCCCAGCCCAGAGTCCCCTCGGGCCCCTTGCCTTTGGCCCCAGCCCACCCCAGCCAACAGCCACCAGGAGTTCCTCCTCCTCTGTGGAGCGAGCCGTCTGGGATTCTGGTTTTGAGCTCGGCAAAGTGCAGGAGAGACAGGCTGAGGACTCGGGGTCCAGCAGGCAACTCCCGGCAGAGCTGGGGGCTGGCTGCTGCCTGTGGGGCAGGGGTCAAGCAGCGAGAGGAGAGGGAGTGGGAGTCCAGGGCAGAGGACAGGCCACTGCAAAGCCCCACACACCTCGCAGACACCTGCATCCAGGGCCACTGAGCGAAAAAGGGCTCTGGCAAAGGGGGGCAGTGTTGCCACAGCCAGAAACACCAACAGCATGAGCGAGAGGGCCCGGCCAGGGTCACTCCAGGCCACAGACACTGAGGGAGGGGTTGCGGGCAGTCGGCCGCAGTGGGTTTGTGACTGGAGGTGCCCCGGAACGAAGCAGGACACCTTCCTGGCTGCACCTCAGGCCGACCACTGAGCAGCCGCGTGACCTCGAAAATTCACTTCACCTTCTGGTCTTGGTTTCTTCCTCCATAGACCTGGCCCAACAGCCCCCCTACGAAGCCCAGGAGAGGAGACAGGACATGCAGGTCAGGCCCCAGGGCTGGACATGCTTGGGCTCCATCCCCCCGACCCCCACCCCATCTGGTACAGGTGAGCTGGCAGCTGCTTTCCTATAAATCCAGCTCCTTTCTAGGGGTCAGTCAGGGGCCAGGAGACCTCTCTTACCATGAGGCAGGCAGACCTGTCTCCTTGATATTGAGACAAACTCAAGAAGTTGTCCCAAATGGCCATTTCTGGTTCCATGCCATGGCCAGGGTGGGAGCAGGGGTGAGGGTGGGCAACCTCCATGGCTCTTCCCCCCCTACTCCAAAGGAGCCCAAGACGCCCCCACCACGGAGCTGGCCGTGGTGCTGAACAGGCAGCCGAGCTTGGGGAGCCTTTGGAAGACGCCCCTTCCAGCCAGTGGCCCCCCGCCGGGGACCTGCAGGCCGCCTCTGTCCCACACCCCCGTGCTCCCCGCCCTTCACACCACCGCCTCCTGCCCATCCTCCTGGCTCCAGCCCCAGGTCTACCTCAAAGCTCACCACTCTCCCTGCTGCATGGAGGCCTGGGATCTGCAGACCTGCCCTGCGCCTCACACCCAGAGCCTGGCCTTGTCGGATGACTCTATTGCTACCATCAGCACAGCTGGGCAGGGGTCAGCCAAGCCACCAGCCTCTCCCAGACCCTCCAAAGCAAAGAGCAGGGGGGTTGCGCTCCTAGTGAGGACTAGCTGGCTGGTATTTAGATCCACATCCTATTAAAGAAATTCCCATCCCTGGGAGTCAGGATAAAAGCCAACAGCAGGCCCCATCTCCCCAACCACGTGTAGCGCTCACTCCTCCAGCCTCGGCTTCCACAGCACGCCACCCCCTCCGAGAGAATCTTCATTTATTCCCCTCTAGCTTCCTTTTTGTTGCCTTCTCACAAAGCCTAATCTCAGGAGCTTTGATGTGCACACTTGGGACATTGGCTCTTTCTCCTCCAGTCGCATGCACCTGGGTTCCACACATTTTGGGGGCAACTGGGGCCCCCCTGTGCCTTGCTGAGTGGCTGTGGTGGGAGAAACAGGCCCTGACTAGCGCTGGCAGGGTGTGTCTGTAGCCCCTTGCTACGGGGCAGCACCTCCCTGACCTGAGTTCCTGCAGGACCAGAGCAGAGCCCAGGAAGGAGCCCAGGGAGCTCACGAGGCCACCCATACTGTCACGTGTTCTCAGGCCATGGGCTCCTTCGATTTGGAATTCAGCTTCCACCGCCAGCTGCCGGCCACAGATCCTCGCTCCTAGAGGCCCCGTGTCCACCTGGTGTGCTGCATTGACGCCAGCGTGTGCACCAGGGAAAGTCAGGGAGCCTTGAGATCAGTTACAAGCTCCACCGGCGACGGCACCAATCGTGCTGCAGTCACATCGGCCCTGCCCCAGGAGCTCCTGAGGTGAAACGCTGACCAAGCATCCTCCACGCACCCGTCTCAGCTTTTGCCTCCTTCTTCTGAGCACTTCGAGGAAGGCACTGGCACCATCTGCGTTTTATAGAAGCGGGAGCTGAGGCTCAGGGAGGTTGCTAGGCTCACGGAGGTGGCACAGCGGGGAAGGGGCCGCGTGGTCAGACCAGGAGCAGCACCGTAGCCCCTGTTCTCCACCAAACCGAACAGGGCCGGAGAGGACAGCAGAGTCCAAGTGCAGCCTCCAAACACCCAAATGCAGAATGTATGCCCAAATGTATGGCGAACTGAGGGAAGAAAACTTAGGAGGGAAGGGGCTGCAACTGGAAGGACTACTGGGAGTTAATTATCTGACTCCCTTCACAGTGAACTCCTAAATATCTGAGAGACAAGTCTCAGTCAATTCAAAATCATTTGCCAAAGCAAGACATGGCACCCTGGGCGACACAGCCTGCAGAGGCCTGACAACACGTGCCCAAGGTGGTCGGGAGACGGCTTAGTTTTATACATTTTGGGGAGATTTGAGAACAATCAATGTAAGATGTACATTGGTTTGGTCTGGAGAGGCAGTGACAACTTGAAGCAGGGAGGGGGTTTCCAGGTTTATAGGTAGGTAAAGGAGGCCATTCTTGAGTTTTTGATCAGCCTTTCCAAACGGCTAATCAGATAAGGCATTTATCCCAGTGAGGAGGAATGACTTGATTCTCTGTCCTTTGTCCACCAGAATTTCCTGTGGGCAAAACTGTGGGGAGGTATGTAACTTTTATGTCTTAGAAATCACTTTAAAGAATAGAAGGGGAGGCAGGTTTGCTTCAAGCAGTTCCCAGCGAGCTTTCCCTTTGCTCAGTGATTTGGGCGCTGAAGATTGATCTTCCTTCACACCACTTCTACCTTCCTGTTCGTTATTATGCTCAGTCAGAAAAGAAAGCAAAGGTAACAAAGTGCTGGGCCTTTTCCAATCTTTAAACACTACGAACCACAGTATTTGTTTACACCTGAGCTGACACACAAACTAACTAAAAAAGTGTTCCAATTTTCACACCAGTGCGCTCTGAGGGCATGAACCTGGGTCATGTCGTCACAGGAGATGCTAACAGACTTGTAAACGGGCTGAAACTACCTGATATGGGGAGCTTTCTAGCCTGGTGAACCTCGGACTGTTCTCTCCCTAGAGCAGCTCCCCATTGGCAGCAAAGGCAAGTCGCTCGTCCTCTGCGGCTATGTCCACTCTAAAGCCTTCCTGATTCTCCTTCCCCCAAAGCAAATCCATGATCATGCAGTGGGGAGAGAAGGGCCCAAATTACTCTGAGCACTCATTTATTCACTTTTTGAGAAGCCCTTGTCTTCGACCTGTCAAATCTCCCAGAATCGTCACACAACCTCAAGTTTTATCTCTCAGCTTACGAAGAGAGAAAGTTTCCGTCCCAGACGCAGCTTCCAGGACTGCCCTCTCTGTCCTCCTCCACCCAGCCCGCGCCGGCTGTCCCGGGACTCCGCTCACTCAAGACTGGTCCTTTGTCTTCGCACGGCCGCAGGCTGGGACGTGGGTACACATAACCCAGGGAAAAAAGGAAACACAGTTATTCACTTTGAGAATCATTCAGCGGGCAGCGAGCCCAGATTTGAGGCGTCACGTATGACCTCGCCCGAGACGCCGGGCCCCTGGCGACCAGCCTCTGCAGTCCGCGCCCCCAGATCTGCAACCCAGCCCTCGCGACTTCCGGCTCCCGGCCGCGGCTCCCGTAACCGCCCCGCTACTCCGTATCCACGCTGGTGGCCGACATGTTTTCATGAACAATCAGACGCGGGGCCGGGGCGCCTGCCGGTTCGGGCCTCCCCGAGAGGCCGGGCCTGGTCACTTCCGCCGCGGCCCGGGCCCCGCTGCCAATCCCCGGCGCCGCTGGCGGCGGCGGCGGCGGCTGCTGGGCGCGCGGCCTGACGAGAGGCGGCGACGGCGGTGAGCCCCAGACGCGGACGCGCTGAGGAGGCGTTTATTCCAATGGCGGCGGCGGCGGCGGCAGCAGCGACAGCGGCAGCGACGGCGGCAGCCGGGAACGAGACTGCGCAGCGTCAGCGGCACGCGGGCAGGCCGGGAGCACCGCGCCGGGCCGCCACGCTTCGCGCCTGCGCGCTGCTGTCTTACGATGATTTCGTTCCCAGGTCGCAGTTTCGCGCGGTGGGCGAAGCCGCAGCCTGTTGGGCGGAAGCCTCGAGCCGGGGAAGTCACGTGGGGCAGAATGGCGGAGTTGCGGGCTCTGTTGGGAAGGCTGGGGCTGCGTCCGGGTGCAATTGCGCCTGGGCGTCCCGGCCACGGTCGCACGTTCCGGACGCGCTACAGGCACGCGGCCTTCTCGCGGCGCTTCCAGGGTCTGAAGACTAAACGCTGCTCGGTCCGGATACGCCATGGTCTGTCCGGGGTCGGTCCGCCCTGCCTGGCTTCAGAGCTGCGAGCCCTGCGCCTTGCCGCGGGACCTGCGGGCTTTGTTCGCTTTGCAGCTCTGGCCTCTGCAGCAGCGGAGTCGGGCCATCCATGTCATTGCTCGTGGATGTACCTCCGACCTGCAAGAGGCTCGCCATTTATAACGAAGTTCAGACATTAGATTCTTTGACCTCGGATTTCATATCA